ACGACAGCGGAATAATAGCAAAAAAAAAAAAAAAAAAAAAAAAAAAAAAAAAAAAAAAAAATCGTCCCCAACGCAGAAATCAAGACAAGTGTGGGGCCGGGTAGGGAGGGAGGGGGTGGGGGTGGGCAAGAGAGATATGGGGGAATAGGTGAGAGTTGGGGGTTGGGCGGAGTAGGTGATGGCGGGGAGGGGGGAGGGGGGGGTGAGGGATGGAGACATGGGGATTTAAACGGGTGAAAGGGGGTAAAGAGGGGAGTGGGGGCCTTAAGCTGGATTGAAGAAGGGGTTGAGGGAAGGGTGATAGGTAAAAGGCAACTGTCTGTCTATCTATCTATCTATCTGTCTGTCTATCTGTGTGTCTGTCTGTCTGCCTACCTGCCTGCCTACCTGCCTGCCTGCCTACCTGCCTGCCTACCTGCCTGCCTGCCTACCTGCCTACCTGTCTGCCTGCCTGCCTGCCTACCTGTCTGCCTGCCTGCTTGCCTGCCTGTCTGCCTGTTTTCCTCCTCGCCCCTCCCCCAACGCGTGACTCCTGGCGAAACATGCTTAAAACGTCGTGGATCATAATGGAATAACCAATTGGACGCGAATGAGACACGCACTCACCACATGATGGGGAAGGGAGGGAGTGAGAGGAGGGGAGAGGAAGGGTGGGGAGAGACGGAGGGGGTACGGGGGGAGAGTGGTGAGGAGGGTGCGATGGCGAGACGAAATCTGGACGGACACACACACACACACACACACACACACACACACACACACACACACACACACACAACACACACAACCAACCACTCCGGGAACATGCAGAGAACGTGCTTCGCCCTCCTTCCCTTCCTTCCTTCCTCCCTCCCTCCCTCTCCCCTCCATCCATCCCTCAGCCCTCCCCTCCTCTACCTCCCCCCCGTCCCCCCCCCCTTACCTGTATCAATATCTCCCCGGAATAAGCTGTCACGGAATCAAGCAATCGGTAACCCACTGCCTGACGATGACGGAGACGAGGTCCACGTGTCAATAAAATAAATATGTGTCCACCGATGACGCAGGGTTGGGGGGGGGGGGGGGGGAGGGTTGGGGTGGTGGGGGTGGTGGTGGGTTGGGGGTTAGAGGGGGAGGAGGAGGGGTTGGTAATAATGGCAAATTTTAATATCGCGAAAACATCGATGCCAAATCTAACTTTCGCGAACAAAAAAAAAATTAATGCTAAATTTTAATATCGTGGATGAAATTGGCTTCTGATTGTGTTAAGCTTTTCTTGGGTTGTCTGTCTGCCTGGTATGTCTGGTAGGTATTTAGCCAATCATATTCTCTCTCTCTCACTCACTCACTCACTCTCTCTCTCTCTCTGTCTCTCTCTCTCTCTCTCTCTCACTTTGTCACTCACTCACTCACTCTCTCTCTCTTTCTCACTAACTCCCTTCCCTCCTTTCCCCCCTTCTCCCTCCCTCCCTCTCTCTCTCTCCTTCCCTTCCTTCCTTCCCCCCCCCCTCTCTCTCTCTCTCTCTCTCTCCCTCTTCCTTCTCTCTCCCTCTTCCTTCTTTCCCCCATCCTTCCCCTCTCCCTCACCCTTCCCCTCTCCGTTCCTCTCTCTCTCTCACTCCTTCTCCACTTCTCAAAAAAGAGGCTTATTTCAACTATACTTCGAAATGGTACCAACAATTCTACACCCATATCCCCCAGTACGGTGCAACGGAGAAAAATAGGGACTTTGCAAAACCAGAAACCTTGTGCTTCTTGCATGCAATTGCTCTCTGCGGTTGTGTTCTATTTCTTATCTGTCTATCTGTTTTCTCTCTAGGGTCTCCTATTTTCTTACTGTTTCCTTCTTTATTACAGATTCCTTTATTCCTTAGAGTCTCAATGTTAACAGTCGTCTATATATCCACTTTCGTTCCTTAATACCTGTGTTCAGTGTTCCCGGGCTTAACACACTTAAATGAAACAAAAAGAAAAAGAAAGGGAAGGGAAGGGAAGGGAAAGAAATTCAAAGGGAAAGGAAAGAGAAAGAAAGGGAAAGGGAGAGGGAGAGGGAGAGACGGAGAGAGAGAGAGAGAGAGAGAGAGAGAGAGAGAGAGAGAGAGAGAGAGAGAGAGAGAGAGAGAGAGAGAGAGAGAGAGAGAGAGGGGGAAAGAAAGGAGGAAAGTGAGGGAGAGGTAGAGAGAGAGAGAGAGGAAGAGGGAGAGAGGGAGGGAGAGGGAGAGAGACACGGAGAGAGAGAGAGGGAGAGAGGAAGGGAGAGGGAGAGGGAGAAAGAGAAGGAGAGGGGAAGGGGGATGGAGAGTGAGTGACAGAGAGACAGAAACAGAAAGAAACAGAGAGACAAATCCAAAGAGAAATATAGAGATAAAGAAAGAAAGAAAAAGAAACGAGAAACAACGACACACACACACAAAAAAAAACGGAAATTAAAAAATCAGAAATCATAAATACACAACGCCCCCGTCTGCCTCGGGCTCCATGCATGCCCCGTTCGTAAATGTGCTAATACCATCCATCACCGGGCCACGCCCCCCGGCCGTCGTCGCGTGGGGGTTTAGAGCGCGATCAGTTATATTGCAAGAAAACACAGCAATTGCAAACTGTCGCATGCCGGGACATTGGCCGGGGTTGTCGCCAGCGTCTCCTGCTTGTCTCCTTCCCTCCTTCCCTCCTCCCGTTCCTCTGTACCCAACTTCTAGATTTTCTCCACTCCTCGTTTCTCTTGCCCTTCCCTCCCTCCCCCCCCTTTCCTCCCTTCTTCCTTCATCACCATCTCTCTTCCTCCCTTCTCCTTCTCCCCCTCGTGTCCTCCCTTCTCTCTCTCCCCCTTCCTTTCCTCCCTTCTCTCTCCCTCCATCCCTTCTTCCCTTTCCCTCCTTCTCCACCTCCCTTCTCCTTTACCCACCTCCCTTCCCTCCCCTTTCCTCTTTACCTCCCTTCCCCCCATCCGCCCCTCCCCCCTCCCTCTTAACCTCCCTTCCCCCCTCCCCCCTCCCCCCTCCCTCGCCCACTTCCAGACACCGCTGGCCTTATACGTGGAAGCTGGTGTCGATACGTAGATGGCGGCTGGCGGGACCCCGTGTCAATCACGCTTTCTCACGCTATATAACACTTAACGCACGCTGTTTTGTCAAGACTTTTTTTTTCTATTTTGAGGTTTTATATTTTTGTTATATACCTGCACCGTATTTGCAGTGGGCATTTGTCTCTCCACCTGAGCTGAGCACCCCTCCCCCTCCCCTCCCCTGCCCCCCTCCACTCCCCACGCCATGAGAGACTGCTTCGGGAAAATGTAGATTTTCTTTTCTTCTAGAAGAATTCCAAGTATATCCACAAGCGCGTGTACACGCACACGCACACGCACACGCATACGTACACGCACACACACACACACACACACACAAACGCGCGCACGCGGGTGTGCACGCGGGGGCGCTCTACGGAAACTTCCCGAACATTCCATCCCGCATATTTCTTACTAATTTAACTAATCTATTCCAAACATCCCTTTCATTCCCCTTCTTCCCTAATTCCTGAAATTATTATCACTTTTCTTTAACTTTTTTTCTACCCTCATTCCCCCTTTCCTCCATGGTATGCAAGTTTTAAATTTCTTGTTCACGAAAACAGAGAGAGAGAGAGAGAGAGAGAGAGAGAGAGAGAGAGAGAGAGAGAGAGAGAGAGAGAGAGAGAGAAACAGAGAGAGAGAGAGAGAGAGAGAGAGAGAGAGAGAGAGAGAGAGAGAGAGAGAGAGAGAGAGAGAGAGAGAAACAGAGAGAGAGAGAAACAGAGAGAGAGAGAGAGAGAGAGAGAGAGAGAGAGAGAGAGAGAGAGAGAGAGAAAGAGAAAGAGAAAGAGAAAGAGAGAGAGAGAGAGAGAGAGAAAGAGAAACAGAGAGAGAGAGAGAGAGAGAGAGAGAGAGAGAGAGAGAGAGAGAGAGAGAGAGAGAGAGAGAAACAGAGAGAGAGAGAACAGAGAGAACACACAGAGAGAGAGAGAGAGAGAGAGAGAGAGAGAGAGAGAGAGAGAGAGAGAGAGAAACAGAGAGAGAGGTGAACGATTAAGCCAATGGATTTTCTTCAGCTCATCGATAGAAATAAAAAAAACGGGGAAAAATAACCAAAAGAAATCGCTTTAACAAATTCAACTCGATCACTGCATAGGCCCTTAAACCACCACCACCCAATCAGAAAAAGGGCCGTAAAATCATCCATACCCTTAAAATGTACCCTTTAAAAATTGACAGAAAAAGGGAGACTTCAATAAAAAAGGGGTAGAACCTTAAAGAAAACCCTAAATCAACTGAAAGCAACAGAAAAAAATAATCAATTTTAGGACCTAAAGGTATGTCCATAAATCAACAATAACAATAACAATAACAATAACAATAATAATAATAATAACAAAAACACTACCTGGACCTAAAAAAAAATGATTGACAGAGAAAAGTAACTAAACATAACCCTGAATTAGTGAAAGAAAAACATCCCTAAGTTATTATAATAATGAGAGATGATCCATCACCTTGACACATATCCCTGCCTAGAAAATAAAAACAAATAAAAACAAATAAAACGAAAAAAAAAGAAAACGAAACAATACAAAACCAAAAAAATAAAAATAAAAGCAGAAACTGAAATAAAACAATCCTAAAACAGCACAAAACCTTAAAACAATAAAACAAAAACAAAGAAATAAATAAAAGCAGAAACTGAAATAAAACAATCCTAAAACAGCACAAAACAATAAAACAATAAAACAAAAACAAAGAAATAAATAAAAGCAGAAACTGAAATAAAACAATCCTAAAACAGCACAAAACAATAAAACAATAAAACAAAAACAAAAAAATAAATAAAAGCTGAAACTGAAATAAAACAACCCTAAAACACAAAACAATAAAACAAAAAACAAAAACAAAATAAAAGCTGAAACTGAAATAAAACAACCCTAAAACAACACAAAACAAAACAAACCGAACCGAACCGAACCCCCCCTCCGACGCACGATTCGAGACTGACCTTGGCCCACTCGTACAGGGGCGGGGGCATCCCGTCTATTGGGCACGAGAACTTGACGTCATCTCCTGCCGTGACAGTCTTCTGCTCGGAGTCCCTCTGGCTGGTCCTGCGGGGCGGTTCTGAGGACGGAAGGAAAAGAGGAGTTAGTGCCAATGACGCAATGTTATTATTATTATTATTATTTTATTTTTTATTTTTTTATTTTGTATTTTTTTTGGTTATTATGTTCTTGGTCGTTAAGGATAAGGCTTGGTGGGATGTTTGGATGGGAAGTGTGATTGAAAATTGCTGTTGGTGATTGCAAAATAAAAGAAGAAGAAGAAATAATTATTTTTTTTTGTATATTTCTGTCTTTTAATAATTGTTAAAAGGTGATTAGAACGAGTGAATTACGATGCGTTGGAACTAAACTTATTAAATCTCGCCCCCCCCCTTCCTTTTTCTCATTAAACCCTTTCCCTAAGTTATTAAGCTAAATAATCCTCCCTTCGTTCATCTCTCCCCCCCCCCTCTCTCTCTCTCTCTCTCTCTCTCTCTCTCTCTCTCTCTCTCTCTCTCTCTCTCTCTATCTCTCTCTCTTTCTTCCTCGTCTTCTGTTTCTGCTTTTTTTCTCTTCCTTTTCCTTTTCCTCCTCCTCCTCCTCCATCTCACTTTCCCTCTCCTTCTACTCCTCCTCCTCCTTCCCCCTCTCCTTCTATTCCTTCTCCCTTTCCTTCTCCTTCTCCTTCTTCTTCTTCCTCTCCTCCTCCTCCTTCTCCTCCCTCTCCCTCTCATGCTTCCCTCTCCCTCCTCCCTCTCTCTTTCCATCACCCTTCTCCATCCTCCTTCCCTCTCTCTTCCTCTCTTCCTCTTCCCCCCCTATCTTTCTCTCCCATCTCTCCCTCACTAAGCCCTTTCTCTCTTTCGCTGCCGGATTTAAATCAAATAATTCAGGTCTCTATGGATTCTGATCTCAATAAAACGGATTAGTGTCCAGTCAAAACTCCCATCCAATCACGGTCTTAAATGCGGACACGATTTTATTCCAATAATCAAGAAAATCGCTTTCTCTCTCTCTCTCTCTCTTTTCTCTTTCTCTTTTCCCATTCCTATTTTCTTCTTCTTTTTCTTTTCTTCTCTCTTTCTTTCTTTCTCTCTCTCTCTCTTTCTTCTTTCTCTCTCTCTCTCTTTCTTCTCTCTTCTCTCTCTCTCTTTCTTCTCTTTCTCTTCTCTCTCTCTTCTCTCTCTCTCTCTCTCTCTCTCTCTCACTCTCTCTCTCACTCTCTCTCTCTCTCTTCTCTCTCTCTCTCCCCTTCCCTCCCTCAACCACCAATAACACCACCTCTTTAAAACATCAATCTTAATCATTTTAATGAGAGGAAAACAAAAAACGAAAGCAAATAAAAAAAAAAAAAAAAAAAAAAAAAAAAAAAAAAAAAAAAAAAAATGGAATGCAAAACTAACCCAAACAAACAAAAAAAAAATAAAGCAAACGCATAAAAGTTTAGTCTGTCTGAAGATAATGAACGTGACATGATCGAGTTAATCATATCTGTGCGATGGAGTGTGAAATGTAAGCAGATAAAAAACATTGCTGGATTATTAAATAGGAGAGAGGGGAAGAGGCGAAGGGAGGGGGAAGGAATGGGAATGAAGGGGAGGAAGGGAGGAAGGGAGGGAGGGAGAAGGAATGGGAATGAAGGAGAAGGAAGGAAGGAAGGGAGAAGGAATGACAATGGAGGAGAGGAAGGAATGAAAATGAAAGAGAGGAAGGAAGGGAGGGAAGGAGAAGAAATGGAAATGGAGGAGAGGAAGGGAGGAAGGGAGAGAGAGAGAGAGAGAGAGAGAGAGAGAGAGAGAGAGAGAGAGAGAGAGAGAGAGAGAGAGACCAATGGACATATTGAAAATAATTAGACAAGTCAGTAGAACAAAACTATCTGACAATAACCCTAGTAAATGCTAGAAAACAGACACACACACATGCATGAACGTACAACCGGCGTCCTCTCCTGCACGGACGATGCGAAACGGCTGTGCATTCGATCGCTCCCCTCCCTTACCCCCCCCCCCCGCTCCCTCACCTAGCTCCCCTCCTTTTACCTACCTTCCTCTCTCTCTCTCTCTCACTCTCTCTCTCTCTCTCTCTCTCTCTCTCTCTCTCTCTCTCTCTCTCTCCCTCTCTCTGTCTCTTCCCCCCCCCCCTCTCTCTCTCTCTCTCTCTCTCTCTCTGTCTCTCTCTCTCCACCCCCTCTCTCTGTCTCTCTCTCCACCCCCCTTCTCTCTCTCTCTCTCTCTCTCTCCCCTCTCTCTCTCTTTCTCTCTCTCTCTCTCTTTCCGATTTGTACCCTCCCATACATCCCTCCTTTCCCCCTTCTTCCCCAACAACCCTTCCTTCCCCCTTACCTCCACCTCCTCCCCACCTCCCTCCTTCTCCCCCTCTCCGTTCTGCTCCCCCCCCCGTTTGCCCTCTCCTTCCTCCCTCTTTCTAACCAGGCCTACCTTCCGCTCTCCCTCCCTCCCTCAGATCCGACCCTCCTTTCCCCTTCTCCCTCCTTCCCTTCCACCCTCCTCCCCCTTCCAATTTAGCCCCCCTTCCCTTCTCCCCCTTTCCCTTCCTCCCTCTATTTTTTCCTCCCCCTCCCCACCCTACCTCCCTTCCTATCCCCCTCCCCACCCCCTACCTCCCTCCCTCCCTCCCATTTCCAATCTTACCCCACCCTCCTCCCCCTCCCCCTCCCCCCAACCACACTTCCCCTCCGACCAAACCAATTTTGAAGCAGAATTACTGAGATTCCATTGTGCGCGGGTAATTAAATTCAATCAAATTATGAAGCGACGAGAACCGAGGCGAGATTCCGCTGAACGAAAGAGTGTATGGGGTGGGGGGGAAGGGGGGAAGGGGGGAAGGAAGGGGGAGGGAAGTGAAGAAGGGGGGAAGTGGGGAGGGGAGAAGGGGAAGGAAGTGGGGAAGGGGTGGGGGAGGGAGGTGGGGAAGGGGAAGGGGAAGGGAGGATGGGGGGGATGGGGGGTGGAGGAAGGGAAGGGAAAAGTGGAATGAGTGAGAGAGAGAGAGAGAGAGAAGAGAAGGAAAGGAAAGTGGAGAGAACAGACGAATGAATGAAAAGAGGAAAAAAAAGTAGAAAAAAAAAACTGGAAAGAGAAAATACGGAAGGGAAAGGAAAGGTGAGAAACACGGAGAAAGGGAAAAAAGAGAGGGGAGAGGAGGAGGAAAATGAAAGAGGCGAATGAGGACAACTATCGAGTTAAATTCACCATTGAAGAGGAAACAATACTGAAGTGACTATCTTTTGTGCTCGCGCTAAAAACACAAGGGGTCGGAGTGCAAAGGTGTAAAATTTCCTTTATGGAGCATCAAAAATCGTTAAAATATTTACAGTACGCTTGTGGGCCCCATCTCTGTCCCTCTCGCGCTGGCTCTCTTGTCTGTCTCTCTCTCTCTCTCTCGCTCTCTCTCTCTCATATGTCAGTCTGTCTGTTCATCTTTTAATCTTTAAATTCTCTTCATTTTCCCATTATCTCCCTCTCTCTTTCCCACCACCTCCCTCACTCCCTGTCTCTTTCTCTCCCTCTCACCCTCTCTACTTCTCTCCCTCCACCTTCCCCTCCCTCGCCTTCTCTCTCCCTCAGCAACTCCCTTTCTCTCTCCATCCATCTCCCTTCCCTTCCCCGCCCTCTTCCTCTCACTTTCCCTCCCCCTCCCGATTCCCTCTCTCTCTCTCTCCATCCCCTTTCTCCTCTCTCTCTCTCTCTCCATCCCCTTTCCCCTCCCTCTCTCTTTCCCTCCCCCCTATCCCTCCCTCTCTCCCCATCCCCTTTCCCTCCCCCCTATCCCTCCCTCTCTCTCTCCCTTCCTTTTCCCCTCCCTCTCCCTCCCTTTCCCCTCCCTCCCCTCCCGCGCAGGAGCACCGAATTTCACAAAAGCCAGAGCCAATACCTGAATGAGGCGCCACTCAGGTTGCGGGGTTGCCGATGGTGCATTTCAGGTGGAACTTTATTTTATATTCTTTATTTTCTATTTGATATATGTGTGTGTGTATTGGCGTGTTTGTTTTGTCTTTTTGTTTGTGAATAAATATCTTTTGTGTGTGTGTGTCTGGCACTTTTAAATATTAATAACACCGATTAATACCGATTCTACAAATAATGATGATACTAATGACGATGGCAAAGATAATAATAATAATATCAATAATGACAATAATAATAATAATGATGGCGATGATGATGATGATGATGACAATAATAATAATAATAGCACAATCACTAATAGAACAACTGATTATAATAATGACAGTGTTAACAATGACATAATAATTACAATAATAATAACTACATGATTATAGAAGATTCACATACTCAATGAAGATTCACATATACGTACAGGCATATACACAAAAATAATTGGATATCTGTCTATCTATCTGACAGATATACATTTACCTATCTATCCGGCAGATATGCATGTCTCGACTGATACATATCTATTTCTGTGTATATGCACGCCCGTGAAAGAATATTCGTTGGGTCGGGCCTCGCGCAATTTTATCAAACACAACTCTCACAACGAACACGAATAGTAAGGCCAATCCAACAGCAATTCAGATCATAATAGCTGTGTGACTGTGTGTGTCTGTTTGTTTTTATATCACGAAGAAAACAGATGTCGACTTGGTTCCCTTTGCAGTGGGTAGTTCCAAAACTATTAACTAAACATTTCTCGACATTATATATATATATATATATATATATATATATATATATATATATATATATATATATATATATATATATATATATATATATATATACACACACACACACACACACACACACATATATATATATATATATATATATATATATATATATATATATATATATATATATATATATATATATATATATATATATACATATATATATATATATTATATATATATTATATATATATACATATATATATACATATATATATATATATATATATATATATATATATATATATATATATATATATATATATATATATATATATGTATATATATACATATACATATACATATATATATGTATATATATATATATATATATATATATATATATATATATATATATATAT